TCTCCATCTACATCTGTACCTACATCCCAACCTGCATCTCCACTTGCATCTGCTCATACAGCTGCACCTATATCTCCACCTGCATCTGCACCTACATTTGGGGTTGTTTAGTCTGGAGAAGAGAAGGCTTAGAGGTGACCTCATCACTCTCTTCAACTACCTGAAGGGAGGCTATAGCCAGGTGGGGGCTGGTCTCTTCTCCCAGGCAACCAACAATAGGACAAGGGGGCATGGGCTCAAGCTCTGCCAGGGGAGGTTTAGGTTGGATGATAGGAAGAAATTCTTTACAGAGAGGGTAATCAGGCACTGGAACGTCCTACCCAGAGAGGTGGTGGATTCATCATCCCTGGAGGTTTTTAAAAAGAGATTGGACATGGCTCTTAGTGCCATGATATAGTAATTGGAGTCGGATCAGGGGTTGGACTTGATGATCTTGGAGGTCTTTTCCAACCCAATCTATTCTATGATTCTATGATTCTATGATCTCCACCTGCATTCCCACCTGCATCTCCATCTACATCTGTACCTACATCCCAACCTGCATCTGCACCCGCATCTGCTCCTACATCTCCACCTGCATTCCCACCTGCATCTCCATCTACATCTGTACCTACATCCCAACCTGCATCTGCACCCGCATCTGCTCCTACATCTCCACCTGCATTCCCACCTACATCTCCACCTACATCTGCATCTTCATCTCCACCTGCATCTGCACCTACATCTGCACCCCTCGTGCACCCGCTTCCACCTCCCACATCCCCATCGTCAATCCCATGCCACCCATGTGAATCCCACACCCCACGTTCCCACCTGCATCCAGATCCCACCTCAGCACCCATGACCTCCATCCACATCTAAATCCACATCCCACACCCTCCGTGGCCATGGGGTGGGGTGGCCCTAGGCCATGCTGGGGGGGGGCATCAATTCTTGACTTTTGAGGGACACGCGGGCATTGAGGTGCCCATGGGGACCACGGTACCTGCTCAGCTGTCAGCAGTGGCTCCTCGTTGATGCCCGAGTCTTGCTCACTTCTCTCAGTGAGCTCCTCCTCCTCCTTCTCACAGAGCTGCAGGAGACACAGGCTGGGTGGCCTTGGTGGCACTGCAGGCATGGTCCCACCAAAGACACAGAGAGAGCCACCAGGGAACCACCGCTCAGGGGGACATGCTGCATGGCTGGGCTTGCATGGGAGACATCAGATGGGGATGTTGGACAGGGAGACGTTGGATGGGGAGATGTTGGATGAGGGCAATGGGTAGAGATGTTGGATGGAGACACTGGATGGGGAGATGTGGGATGAAGGCATTGGGAGGTGATGTTGGATGGAGAAGTTGGATGCAGATGTTGGATGGGTAAGTATTGGATGAGGGCATTGGGTGGAGACCCTCGATGGGAACATTGGATGGAAAGAAGTTGGAGAGGGACACTGGATAGAGATGTTGGATGGGGAAATGTTGGACAGGGGCATTGGATGGGACTTTGCACAGGGACACTGAAGATGTTGGGGAGGGAGATGATGGACGGGGAAGCACTGGATGGGGAGGTGTTGCAAGGACATGGACAGACACGTTGGATGGGGAGACAATGGACGGAGAGTTGTTGGATGGAGACAGTGGACTGGGAATTTGGACAGGGAGAAGTACAGGTATGTTGGATGGAGATGCTGGATGGAGAGATGTTTGGAGAATGACATTGGATGGGGAGGTGTTGGAGATGCTGGATGGAGATGTTGGGTGGGGAGATGATGGATGGTGATGGCTAACGCTGGAGAGATCAGATGGAGACATCAGCTGGGGACATGTCAGAGGGGAATGCTGGATGTGGAGGTGATGGATGGAGATGTTGGACATGGAGGTGTCTTTTTTACCACCTTTCACAGTCTGTTTCACCTTTTTAGCAGAAAATAACCCCAAAAATTGACCTTCTTTTCCCCCAAATGCCCATTTTTGGGTAGTTTGTGGTGCTCTGATGGTCGCTGAGCTGTTAAGTGTCACCAGGGGCGTCATGTGGTGACAGACGGGGGTTTTGGAGGAACCAAGTTGAGGAGTCACAGCTGTACCTGGGGGTCGGTGCCGTCAGTGGCCTCGGGGAGCAGCCAGGGCCGGGAGGAGCTCCGGGGGGTGAAGCCATCAGTGAGAGCATCCCAGACCCTGCGGGGAGGTGGGTGCTGAGAGACAACCCCAAAATGGTGTCTCCTAGAAAGCTGTCCTAAAATACTTCAAAACACCCCAAAATGAAGCCCTGGAACATCCTGAAATGGTCCCCCTGAAAAAGCTCCAAACACCACTGAGATGTCCAAAACACCAAAACATCCCAAACGATGTCCTAGAAGATCCAAATGCTGCCCTAGAAGACTCCAAATGAGGTCCTAGAAGACCCCAAATGGTGCCCTAGAAGATCCTAAATGCTGCCCTAGAAGACTTCAAATGATGCCCTAAAAGATGCATTAGAAGACCCCAAATGCTGCCCCAGGAGGCCCCAAATGATGTCCTAGAAGATCCCTAATGATGCCCCAGAAGTCCCCAAATGAAGCCCTAGAAGATCCAAATGCTGCCCTAGAAGACCCCAAATGATGCCCCAGAAGACCGCAAATCTCAAAATTTCACCTTTTATGGCTGCCCTGAAATACCCTGAAGTAGCCCAAAAAGCTGTCCCAGCACTTGAGACAGCCTCAACCATTGTCACCAACATACCCCAAAAAAAAGGCCACCACAATGTCCCAGAATGTCCCCAGATGCCCCAAAGTGCCACCTCAAAACATCACCGTGATGTCCTAAAATGCCCCAAAACATCCGCAAATGTCCCCCAAAACCCCAGAAACACCCCAAAAAGTCACCCAAACCACTGCCCCAAAGCCCCAAGACCCTCTGGGAGACCCCCAAACACCTCAAGATGTTCTTCTGATACATCCCAAAATATTCCTCAAGGTCCCAAAGCTCCAAAATACCCTGAAATGCCCCAAAATGCCACCCTGAAACACCTAAAAATGCCTTTGAAAGCCACAAAGCTCCAAAATGCCTTGAAATGCCCCAAAATGTTGTACAAAAGCACCTAAAAATGCCCCAAAACCCACAATACTCCAAAAGTCACCTTGAAACTCTCAAAAAAACCTCAAAATACCGTAATGTGCCCTAAAATACCCCCAAAATGCCACTTTTGAAGACAAAGAAATACCCAAAATGTTTTCCTGAAACTCTGCCCCAAAATGCTCCAAAATGCCCCAAAATGTTGCCCTGGAACACCCCAAAACATCTCAAAATGTTGTCTCTGAAAAAAACCCCAAATTGCCCTAAAACGCCCCAAAATTGTCCTAAACACACCAAAATATGGTCCTGATTCCCCAAAATGCACCAAAATTGCCTTAAACCACCCCAAAATGGTCCTGACTCCCCTGATCCCCCCGTTCTCTGTGTCATTCTTAGGGGTATCTGAATCTCCTGACTGATTTTGCCCAATTTCAGCCCAAAAAAGGTGCAGGGGGGAGGGAAAAAATGTGAAAAAAGGGTAAAAAAAAGAGGAAAAAAAGGAAAAAGGGGGAAAAATGTGAAAAAAGGGAAAAAAATGTGAAAAAGGGGAAAAAAGGGGAAAAAGGTGGAAAAAGGAAAAGGGGAAAAAGGAGGGATAAAAAAGAAAAGGAAAAGGGGGAAAAAGAGGGAAAAAGGGGGGAAAAGGGAAAAAGGGGAAAAAAGGTGGAAAAGGGAAAAAAGGGGAAAATGGAAAAAAGGGGGAAAAGGTGGAAAAAGGAGAAAAAGGGGGAAAAGGAGAAAAAGGGGAAAAAGGTGAAAAAGAGGAAAAGGGGGGAAGAAGGAGAAATTGAGGAAGAAAAATGGAGAAAAACGAGAGAAAAGAGCCAAAAAGTGGCAATATTGGGAAAAGGGTCAAAAATGAGGAAAAAGGTCAAAATGAGGAAAAAGGTCAAAAACGGGGAAAAAAGCAAAAAATGGGAAAAAAAGGCCCAAAGCAAGATTAGCCAATTTCTCCCCAACTAAGGCAAAACTCGCCCCTTTTCCCCCCACAAACGGCATTTCCCCCCACACCCCAATTCCCCCTAAATCACTCCAAAACCGCCGCGTGTCAAAACCCCTCTATTTTCCTTTTTTTTTTTTTTTTTACCAAAACGCAGCAAATAAGGAAAAAAAAATTCTGTCTCCAAATTGCCTTTTTTTTCCTGTTTTTTTTTCATTCTTAAAGGGCCAGCAGGGTCAGGCAAGCAGCAGATTTTTGGGTTCATTATGGGCAGAATTGGTGAAAAATTAGGGAAAAACAGCATTTTGAAAGTCCCAGCCCATCCCCCGCCCACGCACACAGGGCTCATTCAAGAAAAAGAGAAAAAAACCCACCCTGTTTTGTCCAAAATGACCCAAACTGACACAAAAAGCAGCACAAAGAGGCGACAGCCGGCGACAGCGCGGCGCTCCCGGCACAGGGCCAAAATGTGGTGTTTTTTTTTTCTAAAAACCTGACAATTTGATCAATTCTGAAAAGTGATTCAGTGAATTTTGAGAAAAAAAAAACAAACCACCCCAAATCTCCAAATTTAGGGTTTTTTTGGGGTTGAAAATAACCACGTTGTGTGATGAAAATTGAGGTTTGGGAATTGCAGCCTGGGGAATAAACTCATTTAAAGATAAAAAAGACATTAATCGCTGGGAAAAAACCACACAAATTTGGTAAAAACCCGACATTTTGCAACCAAAAAAAAAAGGTTTTTAGTGAAAATTTAGATTTTAATAAAAATTCAGATTTTTAATGCAAATGTCACTATTTTGTGGCAGGATTGGGGGGATTTTGCCCCAGATTGGTTGCCCCCTGGCTTGGTGCAGAGCTTGCAGGTTGCAAGGAAGAGGGTAAACGGTACTCACGCTTTACTCAAAGTTTACACTCTCCCCCCTCCTTCCCCACCAGGGGACTCTCCTCAACATAGACTGAGCCTGCTGGGACCCCCTGCAACATGACATGGGGTACCCTCCTCATAGGATGCTACACAGCTAGTCTAAAGATTCTACACAGTTACTCCAAGGATTCTACACAGTTACTCCAAGGATTCTACATACCATACCTACTCCACAGCTACTCCAAGGCGCAAGGAGCTGATTTGTGTGTGGTAGAGATCTTGAGAGCGTGCAAGCAGATGCCACAGGCTCTGGAGAGGCGCTGCTCACAGGATACTACACTGCTACTCCGATGTGCTACACAACCACGCTGCAATGGGGTAGGCTGGGCTGCGTGTCGTGGGAGGAGGTGTATCTCATGACCGTGCAAGGAAGCACGTGGGCACAAGGGTGGCCTACGCATAGGATCCTACACAGCTACTCATAGGATACTACACAGCTGCTCATAGCATACTACACAGCTACTCCGTGACTAGGCCATGATGCAGGGGGCAGAGCTGCACATGGGGTGTAACCTTGTCAGCGTGCAAGGTGGCATGCAGACCTGAGTCCTTACTCACAGGATACTACAACACTACTCCTGACCTGGTGCATGACCACGCTGCAATGCAGGGGGCTGCTCAGGGAAGTCTCGTGAGGGTGGAAAGAAGCACGCGGGTTGTCAGGGGGCTTACTCATAGGTTACTAATGCTACTACTTTGCTGTGTTGCACCACCACGCAGTCCCCCCAGCCGGTTTGCACCAGGAAGGTGGATTTTGTCGGTGCGCGAGGAGACAGGTACTCCTAGGAGTAGGGAGCTCTTACTCACTCCTCATCCTGAAGACGCTCCTCCTCCTCCTGTGCCTGGAGACGTCCCCGCACAGGGGCCAGGCCCTCAGTGGCAGCGTCATAGTTGCGGAAGCAGACGGTGAGTTTCTCGTCAAACTCCTGCACCAGGTCCTCCATGGATTTGAAGCTCATCATCTCGGCCGAGAAGCTCTCCAACTCGGCCAGCGCTGGGTCCGCCAGCTGGCGCAGGATCCCCTCATCATCCCCGGGTCCTTCCTCAAACTCCTCCTCCAAGCTTACTAGGGGTGCCTCCATCCTCCTCAATGCCGACGCGCCGCCTTAACTGTGGGGAGAGGGTGCCCGTGAGGCACTGGGTTACTCACAGGTTACAACACCAAGGCTCCTCACTCTCTTTGCTGCTGCCGTGGAACCCTACAGCCAGTGCTAGTATCTCTGTAGTATCCTAACAACATCTTAGTCCTGTTGTCAAAGCAGTGCTATAGAAATATGCTGATAACCTGACACTATACTACCAGTACTTTACTAGTAGTAACAAGATGTTGAATAGCGGCCACAAAGTATCTTAGTGTTACTCTGATAGTATACTAAAAGTATCATAACACTATCTTTTTTGCTCAACTGGTAGTATCTTAGTAGTATCCTTACACTGCATCACTATCTTAGTAGTGGCCTGAAAGTACCATACTAGTATCAATAATGTGCTGATAGTAACCCTAAAGTTTGAGTCTTGCCTGAATAGTATCCTAGAAGTATCTTACCATCATCTTTTCTAGTGCCCTTGTAGTATCTCAGAAGTACCCCGATATCCTACTAGCATCTTACTAAGAAGTGAGTATTGTCCTGATGGCACCTTGGCAGCGTTGTCATAATATCCTTGTAGCATCATAATAGTACTCTGATGGTATCTTAGTAGCATGCTGGTAATGGCCCTGTAGTATCTTAGTAGTGCCTTGATAGTACTGTGAAAGTATCTCAGCATTACCCTTGGAGTATCCAGGCAGTATCCTGATAGGGTCTTAGGAGTATCCTGATGGTAGCTTCGTGCTACACTAAGAGTATCCTAGCAGTAGCTATTGAATAGCTCAGCATTGCCCTGATGGTGTAGTAGTACAGGTAGGATTATCCTGATAGGATCATCCTAACAACATCCTAGTTAATCCTAACAGTGATCCTACTCCTAATAGTATCACAGTAGTATATGAGCAGTGCCCTGATAGTGCAATGGTATATAGCTACTCTCTTAGTAGTATCCTGATAGTATCTTGGCAGTGCAACGTAATATCTAGATAATCTCTTACTACTACGTTACTATGGTGAAAGATTCTTAATTGTATCTATTGTAGTATTCTGTGAGCACCTCGATGGTATGTTAGCACTACTCCAGTGCTACCTGGAGTATCAGTATCAACTCTAAAAGATGCTGGAATTATCTTAGGAGTATCCTGATAGCATCCTGGTAGTGCCCTGATAACACCTTAGCAGTGTCCTCAAGAGTAGCATCCATGTAGTATCCTGATAGTATCTTTGTGTCACCCTGACAGTGACTTAGTATTGGCTGTAGAGTATCCTGACAGCATTTCAATCAACTCCTGACAGTATTTTTGTAGCATCCCAGCAGTATCCTCAGAGTATCTCAGCTGCACCTTGATAGCATCTCACTACTCTCTCTTCAAGTTACTGGGAGTATCCTGGTAGTACCTTAGCAGTAGCCTCACTGGAAGCTAGTAGTAAGATAGTAGTAGCCCAGCACAGGCACCATGGATGCATGCAGATGACGTTGCACACGCCACACGCTTGTTTGGGCGTGTTGGGGTGCGGGGGGTGCGCAGTGGTGCAAATCCACACGCGTATGCCCCC